GCTGATAGTTGTTAATATAAAATGACTGCAACTTGACACTGGTGTGTGCTTTAGTGCCGAGTACTGGCGTTTTGTAAATTGAAATATTGGTTGATTCATTTGCGAGTCAAACATTTTGTCCAAAAATGTATGCATTAAAATAGAAGATGAAAAGTTCCAGTTTCCAATATCATTAAACTTTCCCTTCTTTCCCGCGTTCAGTCATCCATTTAGTGTAAAGTTTCAATGTTGTTTCTCACTGTCCAGCTTTCTTCAATATATACTGTGACTGATAACTAGTTCCCATTGTCTTTAAAATGTTCATCGTTGCTCATATATTCCCTTCTCAGCCATCTATTTTTAGAACAACATTGCTTAAGTTTCGAGTTGCTATCATCATCGTAAAAGTTCGTGACTGATTTTCATTGTTCATCTTACTTATTATAAAACGCAGATTGTGTGTGTGTATGTGTCTGTATGTTTATATATTGGATCGGATTTCCTACATTTTTCAACCGATTTCAACAAAACGTCACGGGACTGCGTAAAATTACCTTGCGGTGGTTTTGACAGCGCCAAAAATTGGAAAAACACACTTGTTTTTGCAAGAAATCAATTTGAAAACACGATTCAATCGATAGCCTCATAACGATTGAAAATATTGTTTTTGTTTGAGTATGGGTTTGACCAATTCATAACCCCCCCCCCCCAATAAAAACTAATTAAGACACGAGTGTCCTTCAACCTTAAACAATAATCTTTGTCAATTTTATTTTTCAGTCTATATGATGGTCGATTCTTGATCTATCTCTTGCTCTTACATTCCCGGGCAACGCCGGGCTCTCCTGCTAGTATTAAATAAGCGTAACTTGACACTGGTGTGTGTTTTGACATGTATGCTTTAAAATGGTGGATGAAATCTTTCAGTTTCCAATATTAAGCTCTATGAATTTTAGAAAAGATTACGCGTTGGAACTTCAACAAAATATTCAGAAGTTATACTTGAATCGGGCATAATTTCTTCGGACGGTAAAAAAGTAGTTTGAGTGATTTCCTCAGGGTGATTTTAATCTGAACGACCTGGGCCACCGCACGACTTCGATGAAGACGCTATTCTTTCTATCGTGAAGAAGAAACCGAAGATTTCGACAGAACAAGCTTGATGGTATTTCTGCGGCGACACTTTTAATGTTACAGCATGAAAAGGAACTGTTCTTGGACGGGATGATAACAGACCATCAATAATGGTTAGATTACAATTATGCTGGATGCAAACGGAGTTTGGAAGAAGCATGACAATGTCCAAAACATGTGTTTAAATCAGGCTTGCATCCTATGAATATTTTCTTGTACGTTTGATGGGATTTACAAAGAATAATTCGGGTAAAAATAGGTGCAATGAAAGATTCCGTTCACTTCCTCAATCTCAATGCTATTCAAGAAAAAAAAAAACCGAATAGATGTCGATTTCCGCCCAAGGCATCTTTGGATCTTATATTTCACAACAGAAGTTGTAGAAGCCTAAAGAGTTGAAATAGAGTCCTACCCTCCAGCAGCCATCGTATTATACTGTCTTCGCTCATACGGACTTTCATTTTGGTGGTTTCTATAGAACAATTTAAAATACAAAAAATCTGACTGATCTGCAGCGAGTCGGAAATTACTTAGAATCATAATCCCAAAAAAAAGTCACGAAGATTCTTCGAAAATAGCATCAACAAGTTTGTTGAACGATGGCAAGCAGTTGCTAAAGAAAATATAGACTATGGACCTAATTAATATAAGTTAATATTTTGTATGTAACATTTTAGATAGAATGGGTAAGATACAATAAGTTGTATAAATACTGTTTTCATAAATTGGTTATGTCATACGATCTCTAGCGTAAAATTTGAATTTAAATGTTTGTTGATTCTGTATGGTAAGTGTTTTATTTAAAATAGTGTTGTTTATAGGATATTAGTCTCTTTTTGTGTATAGGATGGTTTTATAAATAAGCCCCGTGTCTGAAGATGGTCTTTCGGTACCAAACGCGTCTCAGCAGATTGTTCCGTCTTTCATGTATTTAGACTTTAATATATATACGTACATATATCTACTTGTGTGTGAATTATAATGATATATATATATATATATATATATATATATATATATATATATATATATATATATATATATATATGGGAAAAAAAGATATAGTATTTATGTATCAAGAAATGTTTTGGAAGACAAGTATTACTACAACTTGTAAAAATATTAGTTACGCATTTTATACGTTATGACTTCATCAGACTGGGTAAATAACCAAAACACGGATGAAACGCGTCGCAAAAATTTTTACTATTTGTCACACATTATTTATCTCAAATCTCTCTCTCTTTTTATATATATATATATATATTATATATATATATATATATATATATATATATATATATATTATTTGGAAACATTTGTTTTAAAATGATAATCGATGTACATAAGGCCCGTCAATATTTTATATTATTTCACAAACCGAAAATCTTTTTTTGCCAAAATTCATGATTCATCTTAAGCAGTTTTTGACATTTACAAAAAATAAGATTCTTATGATATCAACCGAGTCTTTATTTTTCAATTATTTTATTATAAATGCTTACGGGTACTAGACAGTTTCAACATCAGTATATATATATATATATATATATATATATATATATATATATATATGTATATATATTTTGGACTTATACACACGCACATAAACATGCACACACGCATACACATTCAAATGCACGCATACACACGTGTAAACACACGCATACACATGTGCAAACACACGCATACACACACACACATATATATATAAATATAAGTATAAAAATGAACATTGAAGTCAACACTCAAGGCGACATGCTGTTTCATGCTAGACGTCAGACTGATTTCGTCTAGCATGAAACATATATATATATATATATATGAAAGAAAAATACAGAAAAAACAAAATTCTGAATATGCATTATTAATGTTAAAATAAAGTCGACGTCGGAAGTTTCGGTCTATTTAAGACCATCTTCATGGACATTTTCATTTAAACATAATTTACATTAAATAATTAAATAGACCGAAACGTCCGACGTCGACTTTATTTTAACATTAATAATGCATATTCAGAATTTTTTTTTCTGTATTTTCTTTCATACTGTCGGATTTATATCCATATATTTGCTTACATACTGTCTACTGAAAATGCAAACCTGAAAATGCAAACCTAAGGAATTTTTATCGAACTGTTTTTAGAACTGTTGCATCGTTTTTTGAAATCATTTTTGGATTTGCATTGTAACGAGAAGGACTTTCAAGCTTGTTGAGGATGTGAGAGCCAATTGTTTCACTACGTATTCCAATATCAACGGAAGAGATTTCTTTGACTTTTTATAAAATTTTTCAATCGACTTTTTGATATTTTAATTTTTGGAAATCATCTTCGAATACGTCTTAACAACATCGCCCACGAGACGACTACGTGATCATATTTAAACAGAACGCTGATCTGTATAAAATTTCAGTTATCTGTTTGAATTAGTTGGGCTCTTATGTCCATCGTCTTTTGTGTTAAATTGTTATAAGTTATAATGTTAATTATGTTTAAATGAAAATGTCCATGAAGATGGTCTTAAATAGACCGAAACGTCCGACGTCGACTTTATTTTAACATTAATAATGCATATTCAGAATTTTGTTTTTTCTGTATTTTTCTTTCATACTGTCGGATTTATATCCATATATTTGCTTACATATATATATATATAAGAAATAAAAATTTGAAAAGTGCTATAAATGCGGGATAAAGTGCACAATATGTGAGATGGAGCGTATGTAAATATAAAAGCTTACATTGAAGTCAACCCTCAGAGGGGACAGACTGTTTCATGTTAAACGCAATCATCAGGCAGCATGTGTTGGATTTTCTCTAATATTTATATGTAGTGGTCAGTGGTGTGTGGTTAGTCTATTCTGAGGCTTATTTGGGCGGGAGTGGCTTGTTAATTTATTTATTTGAATAATTCATTTTACCTGGTTTTTATTTATTTTTATTTATTCTATTCGGTTTTCGGGTTTTTATTAACGTAGTAAAAACAATTTTTGAGTTGTGTTCTGATCGTTTATTTAGTATTTTGTTTTCGTCTAGGAAGGTAATTATAGCTATTTTTCGTTCAATTTATGGATTGTTTGTTGTAGTTTAATGTGACGGTTATTTTAGCTGGAGCGGTTTGTTAATTTGTTTATTATTACTTTATCAATAGATGTGGATTGATTATTTATACTTATTCATTTTTATTTTTATTTTTTTTTTGTATATTCTAAATTTTTGCTATGGCGGGAGTGGTTTGAATAGAATATTTATCATTTGCTTCGGTGATTTTATTTTAGCGGTTTTTTATTATTTTATTTATTTTCATTTATTTATTTCTGTTTTCGATTTTTATATAACGTAGTAAAAATTTGTTTCATGCCTGCATTTAGAGATGAGTTCTAATCGTTTATTTAGTAGTTGTTGTCTGCGTAGGTAATTATAGCTATTTGTACCTCCAAGCAAACTTTGCAGGTTTTTGGATTGATTATTGTAGGTTGAAGTTCTTTTCCTTATTTTCCATTATATTTTCGGTGCGTTTTGGTGAGAACATGGCAGAAATTATAAAAAAAATACAACAGAAAAACTATCAACACACAGCCCGAATAAATTGAATCCACGTGTAACTGAAGAATTAAAAATGACTGTCCCATAAACGTAATTGCTTTTAAAACAACGTAATATAATAAGCCATAGCAAAATCACCAGATAATGAAGGGAAAAATATAACTGAAGAACTTTGAAAACAAAGAAACTATGCACACAAAACGTGTTTCACAAATAATAATTATGCAAACAGCACAACTCTTCCTAAGTATGTCTGGGAAATTTATAAACAAAATGCCAAAAAATCCTTGAAAATAAGGATGGTGCATCACTACATTTTGCACTTACAGTGGTTGCGTGGTTAGACGCGTACTGCCCCCTTCTGCCGGGGACCGAGGAAACGAAAATGCGATCCGATACACGTGGCGAACCAGTTTCTTCTCGTCGGACGATCCGCGCCGCGGGTCCCGCGCCCTCGGCTCCCCACCGTCTCGGGCGCGCGAGGGACAGTGTTCGCGGGAGCTTCGAAACTGACGGGGCCGCGTCGATTCCCGCGCCGGTGCGTGATGTCGTCTCGTCGCGACGTCTTCTCCGCGTCCGGACGCAAAAATCTGGGCGCGCGGGAGGGCACTGCCGGCGCGGTAGGTCGGCGTCTGACTGTGCCGCCCGTCAACTCGGGTCCGCGAGGTGCATCGGCAACCCACCCGACCCGTCTTGAAACACGAACCGAGGAGTCCTGGCCGTTCGCGAGTCGTAGGGACCCCGAAGAACCCCGAAGGCGCAGCAAAAGCGAGAGAGCGCGTGGGAGGGCACCGGTTACGCGTGGGAGGGCACCGGTCGCGGCGAAAGCGGTTCCGGAGGGGAGCTTCTCGCTTCCTTCCACCTGACTAGCCATGCCCGATTCCGCCGGCGCTTGCTGTCTTCGTCCCGTCGTCCGTTTCCCCCTTTTCCTCCGTTCGTCCCGTATCGGTTCCTCCACGATTTTCCCGTCGCCGGGAGATGACGCAGGGGGCTCGGGCGCTTGTGGCGGGGGGAAAACTCACGGGGATTCGTTCGCGGGGTACAGCCTCAAGCTTTCCTCCGACCGCCCACCGGTGAGATCCCGCGGCTTGAACTAGTCACGATTTAGGTCGTCGAGTTTAGGCGCTGCGCGCGGGCGGATCACCCCCGGGTCGGTAATTTTTTCTCCGAGTACGACTCGGCTGACTCTGGCATAGCGAGCGGCCAGGGACCCGAAAGATGGCGAATCACGCCCGGTTTGTATGAAGCCACAGGAAACTGGTGGAAGTCCGAAGTGCCTCTGACGTGCAAATCGATCGTCGGAATCGGGTGTAGGGGCGAAAGACCAATCGACTTGTCTAGTAGCTGGTTCCCTCCGAAGTTTCCTTCAGGATAGCTGGCGTTCGATCGTCGCAATTTCATCCGGTAAAGCGAACGATTGGAGGACCCGGGGGCGTTCACGGCCTCGACCTACTCTCGCACTCGGAACGGGTGGAACGGGTCGACTCTCCCGAATACGGAGCCGTCCCACTTCTCTGCCGCCGTCGTCTCGACGAAGGAGCTGGCAAAAACAAATGCGAGTGCCAAGTGGGCCACTTTTGATATGCAGAACTTGCGCTGTGGGATGAACTAAACGTCCGGCCAAGGTGCCTAACACGACACCCATGAAATCCCCGAAAGGATGTCGGTCGATATAGACAGCAGGACGGATGAATATATTACATCACTTTTATTAATTCTCACGTAATTGTTTTTTACTAAGATAAGAAATTAATGTTTGTGTTTCGGGTTTATCCTCAATAAAATGTGGGTAACTGACATATAAAGATAATAGCAGTATGACCCGGCGTTGCCCGTGCGTGATTCAAAAATCGTACGACTCATACATTAATCGCTATCACTTGACTTAAAATGTTTTTAGCCTTCCTTAAAATAGGTTTGCCCTTCCTTGCCTTTAAAGGAGTCAACTTTTCCGTGCTGATGTTGCTACATATCTTACTTCTTGCTTATCTCACACTGCGAGTTTTTCCTAAGCTCTATACTAAAAATTAAATGTGTTACGAAAAAAGAACTAAACAAAATGAACACAAAACGATCCGCTTTAAAAAGCACTCGTAACTGGAAAAACCGAATGAAAAACAATGTTAACAACAAATACTTTTTCACACACAACCCAGTTTCCTGAAATGTTGAGACTGGTCATACTACTTCGGCGGGGTTGTTGTTGCCCTTGTTTTGCTAACCCGGTACTTTGGAAACCATACATTGATCCGATTTTAAGTTCAAGTAAAAAGAGCTCAAAAGTGTTTAACAACGCGACATCAACTGCCCAGACTTCAAAATGAGGTGATGTACCGGGCGGCGTAGTGCAGGCGAGACATTCAACTTAAAACCCCAAAATCCGTATCACCTGTCAGTTAATCGGTATTTTTACAAAGTTTGAGTCCCAAATAACATTCGTGATTCGGCATGACACATTGACGTAGACTGAAAAATTGGATCTGAGATACGGCCTGGGAGAAAGAACAAAGTTTAAACAAGTGGGAAATGGACTGCTGAGGACATGGTCAAGAGAAAGGTTTGTATCGATTTTTGAGTCATGACGAGGTCACACGGTATTCTATGCAAGGCACCTCTAACTGGGCCGCGTAGGAATTTCTGGTTGAATTGTAAAGAACGCCCGAAATTATAGAATGTAATCCGCCCAAATACGAGAGTACCAGCCGATTTACCAATTTTTGGAATGCCTGAGTCCAAATTCAAAATCTGTCTCCGTTACAAATTGACGCCGTAAATGTCGGAAGTTGAATCGACATTTGTCTTTAATTGCAGCCTGGGCGTGAAAAGTTGCAAAAACTGACAGCTGATGGCAGTGTCGAACCGGAACTTTTTATCGATTTTTTTGCTGCACGAACGGGGTCTCGAACGCTTTTTTGAAAGGGCTCGTAATCTGGTCGGGGTCATTCATTTCTGTATATATCATATGGTGATGTGAGGAGAGACAATTGATGCTTGTAACTATACATTAATTGGCGATGAGTTCAATGCTTCACAGTAATGCGGTAAAGGGGAGCAAGTGCTTATCCCATGGATGCATTTGTATCCATCAGATGCCGATGTACCCTTCATTTTCGGAAGATCCCCATTCCCATTCGCACCCTGTTTTGCTATGACAATTACTAAGGCACAAGGACAAACTGTCTGTCACTGGTGTACACTATGAGAAGCAGTGCTTCTCAGACGGCCAACTTTACGTAGCCTGCTCTCGAGTCGGAAGGCGCGATGATATGTTCCTTTATTCACCCTCACAAAATGCTGAAAATGTGGTCTACACTGAAGTCCTCAGCCAGTCCTCAGCTAACTCCATTCCAATTTTCCTTTCATGCAAGAAAATTGAGGTCCCCTCAAGTACAACGGGGAGGCTCTGGCGAAAGTCACTAGATAGAAGGACAGATATACCTACCATAAGGTCATCGGAGTTTCGAATATCCTTCATAGAGCGGTTTACAACCTTGAGTGAAGTTTTGGGTCTGACAGTGCTCTCATCCCAGACGAAGAGCTTATATCGCCTGAGTGCTTCCGCTAGACCTGATTGCTTGGCTATACTGCATACAGCTGCTTCTGCCTTAATCAGGTCAAGCGGAAGTTTAAACGTTGAGTGCACTGTTCAGCGACCCGGTAGTAATGTGGAAGAAATGCCTGAAGACGCTACTGCTAGCGCCACTTCACCATGGCGCCGAATTTCTGCAAGACGCAGTTTTGTTACGAAAGTTTTCCAGTTCCCCCAGGCGCTTCCAGGAAGAAAATTGATCCTGTATCCTGCCTGGTGAATGTAAGAACCGCATCGTAAGCGACCCTTTGGTCTATGAGAAGTTTTGGCTCATTTGTTGTGACATAGGCGTTGAGCTCCTCAACAGAATAGGATGTTTATCGCACAATCTCAGGTGAGAGACTGGATGAAGCCACACGATCTGGCGTTGGAAGCCTAACAGTGGCGAGAGATCCCCCCCATTTCAACAAACAGGTTCTCCACGATTATAATCGCCCTGTTGTAAATTTCATCGTTGAATGTAAGAGCCATTGTTGGACAGATGCGTTAATGGCGATCAAATCAAGACGTGAGTGTGGATGCAGCCGCGCTGAAGGTATTTAAAGGGAGCGTGACTTGTCATTGATTGGTTTAGCCTGGACAATGGCCATGACTTAGACCAATGAATGAGCTCACGCAATATGGAATATGTTAGCGCGCATTCACGCACACGCTCATGATTTGGCAAGCGCAAGGCTTGGACGTAAACGGGGTCAAGCTGCCTGCTGCAAATGCAGCTTGGCTCTAACGCACGTGATGCCGGCGATGAGAATGCAAGGAGCTGCAATGAAGCGTTTGCTCGTTTGGTTTGTGCGAAAACGAAAAGCCGCTAACCGTTTGCCGGCATTAGCTTTGAAATGGATTGAGAGGAACCCTGCTGTTTTAGCGCTAAAAATTCCTCGTCAGTTCTGGGATGTGGCCTGTGGTAATGGAAAATCGACTGCTGAGGGCAGAACCATTTTCACTCAGCACGTATGCGGGTTTTTTTTCGGTAAAGACGCTAATAAATGAAGTGCTTATGTGGTAAGATGCGACGATTAAAGAAAACGTTTTGACAAAGTCGAATATGTCATTTGTGGCTCAAAGTCTGGTAGCAGGGATAAAAAAGCCGAATTTCAATGGGCCTGCACCCATTCCAGAATTTGAGGTCAAATGTTTTCTTCTACTCAACTGCACGCATTAGCCTGTTTCTTCCCGCGCATAGCGTGACCTTAAATTAGTCTGCATTTAGGAAATACCCAACCGGAAAAACATTTTTAAGGGATGAACGATTGTCGATTTGCACTCTGTTTGGAGGGGGGCGCTCAGAGTTGAAACTTCACATGGTGACTCCCAATGGCATCCTCATAAATCCGGTCGGTTTTCTCTAAAAAAATCTGGGCGTATCGGTTTGGGGTTTTATCGATTTCTCCGCGCTGTTTAAGGGTCCGTGGTCATGAAACTTCTGGACAACACTTCTAATCGTAGACTCTAAGAGGGTGTCAAATTTGGTTGAAATGCGATCATTCCTTCAGTAAGCATTTTTTCGATTATCGATTTTTTCGATTATCAATTTTTCGATTATCGATTTTTTTGGAACTTGAGTCCGAACTAAAAAATTAGGCTCCGTCATGTCCTTACGGCAGCCATTTGCAAACTTGTGGTGAAAACCGCATCGAAATTGGGTGAGCAATGTGGCCTGGGTGAAGTAACAACGCCCACGACAGACACACAGACAGACAACATGGGAAATATAGATAGTAGATAGATAGATAGATTTATAAACTATCTTTGCGTCACTATGGTAACATTCTGACCAGAAAAAAACGGATTCCAATTTCACCATATTTGATTTGTCAAGCAGGTGAATAGACTGTCCAGAATATATGATTCCATCGTGCGACACCAATGGGAAGTGACTGAAATCCCTGGTGTTAAGCTATACTTTGCGTGTGAAGCTGGTTCAAGGACACGGCTTGGAAGTCGTGACCGAAGATTTCAGTGTAATGGTTTTATTCAAATCTCTCTCTCTCTCTCTCTCTATATATATATATATATATATATATATATATATATATATATATATATATATATATATATATATATATATATATATATATAACAGTTTGGCTCGGTTTATGCTGCAGAAACACAATATGTATGTAGAGGAGTGTAGTTGCTAACCAGCAGATACATCACTGTCTAAAATAAGAGAATTGATGGAACGTTGTGATCTTTTAAGAATATGTATATTTAAAGATAATATCATTATGTTAATATTAATGATGTTAAATGCTGTTACAGTGTTACTCCTGCATCTTTAGTTTGCAGTGATAAAAACGGGAGAAACAAACCTTGCACCAGGGTTAAATAACTCAAATTGTAAAGACTTACGTGACACCATTAACTGAAAAGTTAAAAATCTGAGGAGACGACTGGATATTCTTATGTCTTGCTCAAAGCCAGTACTTACCACGTTTTTTAAAATACTATACGAAAGAATAATAATTATTATTATTAAATGTCTATACATCATTACCTGATATTTCAAAGGTATGAATTGAATGAGAGTAAATCTCATTAAATCTCAGGCTTTGATTTCAATATCCTTGCAGAATGAAAGTCTAAATTTAGAGAGATTTCATAGCAGATTTCAATAGTTTGCGCAAATTATTTGCAGCACAAACAAAAGCTTACGATTGCATCAGAGACATATACTTTTATTAAATTATTTCCCTCTGTTATTATAACGGATGTTACAGGAAAATGGTCTAATTGTTAGATTAAACTTTCAATAGTTGTATCGAAGAAATGATTAAATATATCTTACTGAATATATATATATATATATATATATATATATATATATATATATGTATGTATGTATTTTCAGTATCATTTACCAAATTATACAAGGTATTCTTTGTCCTCTCTAACTTTCTAAAATTCTGTCCTGGAGTAACAAGGTGCCTCACACGTTTCACACACGATTTCGTTTTCCAGTCTTTTTTCACTGCTCTTTGGATTGTCATAGCTGAAAATCATCTCTCATGTGCCAAACTACATATGGATTGAGTTAAAACTTTTCTAATTGATCT